GTCCCGAGGCGTGAGGGGGGCTGGGAAGGGCTGGTGGGGCTGCAGAGCTCCCCCGGCTGTCGGCGGGCACTGCGAGAGGGGGGCAGAAGTGGGGATGCCACACCAAATACCTGCCTCCCTTCAGAGGAGCACCAAGGGCCACTCAGCTGGGGCAGCTTTGCCCTTCCCCTCAGCGTGCCCTGGGCCTGCTCTCCATTACCCACCCCGACAGCAAGGTGTGTGCCCTGAGAAGTCACCCACTGCTTTTCCTCCCAGCCTGCCCTGTTCTTGTGTCTCACAGTAAGAGCTGCTGAAAGTCCGTCGGTCTGCTGGATGTCTGTCACACACAGGACTGCTGTAACTGTATTTTATTGTCAAAATGATTTTAAAACTCAAACATGGTCGCTGAGAACACCACAAGGTGAAACCAGGGCACTGTGAAGCTGGTGGGTTTTGTGCTTGCTCTTTGCCAGCGAGGTCGACTTGGCTCTGAAATGGCTCTTTCAGTATCCATTTAAACAATTACTTAATTTAAAGCTCGTAGCTCGATGGACTGGGACTATTGGAGGTAGTTTTGGAGGTCCACAGAGTCTGTCCTTACAAGATTTATAAGGAGATTTAGTAGATTTTTTGCCTTTCTGCTCTGCTGCCTCCCCTGTGATGTAGCTCTTGCCTTCTGAAAAACCTCTGGCTTCTTCTGTGAGAACCTGCCAGTCTCTGACCCTTGTGCCTTGCTGCAAACATCTCTGTACTTGAGCAAACACCCAAAGCAGAGGCCAGCCTGCCAAATTTGGGGTTTTTATTAAACCCTACTGCAGGCAGGTTGTTCTGATCGGCGTGGAGTTGGTTTTAATATTGTTCCAGTGTGACAGTCAGCTTCAAAGAAAACCAAAACCTGGTTTGTGATCCAGAAGACTTTTAAAATACATTTTATATTAATACAATAATTATCACTATGGTTGTTATTTTCATCAGTGTTTATAGGGTCGCCTTTTGGCCTCTGGGAGGGTTATTATAAAATTCTTCTGTCTCAGGTTCTTTTTTTTCCTGTATGTGTCACCAGTGGCAGTGACCAGCTCCTGGACTGCTGAAGACAATCAGAACCTGTACCTGTGAGGGGCTGGGTGGTGTCAGGACTCTGCAGACAGTGGGCTCTCACCCTGTTCCCCCCACACCCATTCTACACAGGGCCCATGCACAGCTTTCCACACCTGTATCTGTATTAAAAATGTCTTTTCTAAAGGTGAAGAAAGGCACCCAGAGGAGCTGGTGCTGTCAGCAAGTGTGGAACAGCCCTGCTGGAGTGTGGTCTTGTGTCTCCTTGTCATGCTGTGCTTGATGGAGCTCTGGCTGTTCCTCAGCCCCCCCAAGATGTTTTTCCCACAGATCTTTTTTACCAGTTTCCTGGTTTCACACAGGTCTCACACTGGAGAGCTGGCTGCCCAGGTGTCTGGGCGGGATGCTGGGCAGTGTGGGTTGCAGCAGTGACTGCCCTCCTCCTTGGCAAGGCTCCTGGAACCACTTGATGATGGTGTCACCAGGACCAGGACCTGTGTGCTAGAACAAAATCAACCAGTGCACACTTCTTTGAACAGCTCCAAGTAGCCAAGTCAATTATTTCTCTCCTGGATCATCAGCTGATGTGTTGAATGTTTCCAAAAAAGTTCAGTCAGGCTGGAGCTTTGATTTTCCACATCCTGGAAGGGATCTCATGAATCTAGTTTAACCACAGATCTCATTTTTTCTTGCTGCTGTGTATGAAGCCCAGATCTAGTATGTAGCTACAGGCAGCTTGTTAACAAAGGAGATGGCAGGTCCTTTGTGTTTGAGAGGTGATGCTAAAAACATCTCGTCCAGATGTTCCATGCCCTGCAATACATGTTTCATGTAACTGTAAATGAAACTTGGGCACCTTGAGTGTACAAATATGGGTGTCTGCCCCTGTTCCCAGTGTTACACACAAGGGAAGGGTCGGAGGTGTAGGGGCAACAGTTTTAAATTAGACTTTGAGATGTGCCAGCTTATATTGTCTGGAGATTTTGGCAGGTTGGAGTTATTTTCTTCTGCCCCCTCTGTAAGAAATAAGTGTCTGAAAGGGATTTTACTGACTGACTTGTGCCAGTAGATGGAGACGAGGCGGCCAAAGGACCTGATGCAGAAGGGGAGCCCAGTGCTGTGTTTTTCCCTTTTCTGGCTGTGTACAATGACTCCAGTTTGCAGCTTTTAATTGTCACTCCTTGCTGGTCAAGGGACCCTGGGGCTTCTGTTTTTAGGATGCTTTGAACAGTAAAGATTTCAGGATGATTTCACAAGGAGCCTCCCACCAATTGCTTCCTATTTAATTTTCCATCACTTCGGAGACAGTGTCCAGTTGATAATGTGCATGAGAAGTTGGCTGTGGCTGGCTTGCTGGTAGGGACAGTTATGTTAGAGATGTCTTCTGATAAATTCCCATCTGATTAAGTCTGAGGTGCAGTAATTATTTTTCTAAAGCAAATCTTGACATAATTTTCAATGAGGTGCTAGGATGGGTTTAGCTGGAGCTCCCTCACCCTGATCTTGCAAATATTTACCCAAAGCTCCTGCTAAGGACCAGGCCCAGCCCAGCAGGACAGCTCGTTGGGACTGCCAGAAGAGGTTCCACAGTGGTTTGTTCCTGGCGGTGTTGGCAGCCCCGCGGCAGGGCAGGTTTTGGAGGGGAAGGGAGGGAAGGCGGCCAGCCCCACGGGCAGGCAGCGATGGGGCAGCTCTGCCAGCCCCACGGGGGTCCGGATGTCCCTGGCTATGGCGCCTCAACCCCTGGTCACTGTCCTGCCACGGAAAGAGCATGCCTCCTGCCCCTGAGAGGTGTCCCCTACCCTGAGGGGGATCCTGCCCCCAAAGGGTGTCCCTGAGAGGTGTCCCCTATCCCCGAGGGGTGTCCTGCCCCCAAAGGGTGTCCCCTGAGGGGTCCCCTACCCACGAAGGGTGTCTCCTGCCCCCAAAGAGTGTCCCCTGAAGGGTGTCTCCTACCTCTGAAGAGTGCCTGGTGTCCTCTGAGGGGTGTCCTCCTCCTGAGGAGTGTTTTCCAGCACTAAGAGATGTCCTCTGAGGGGTGTCCTCTAC